AGCATGCAAGCACTCCACATATCGAGGAGGATCCGTTAATAACACAAAGCATGCTCACAGTTACTCGATAATTCCCGAAATAGGCCGAAAACATGATTTCTTAACACCTATGCAAGATTCAATAACTACCCAACCCAAATCCCAACTAATCAACATGCATTCACATTCTCGAGCTCAATCTAAGAGATAAAAACTGTAGCCTACCTGTAGGCCGATCACACGCGCTCCAAAATCACTCCTTCGGAGCTTTCCATTTATGAACGGTCTCGAAACGCTTCCCCGCTATCAAAAATAGTATCACAACGTTAATACGGTCGTTTGGACACCAAAATCACAACAAACAGAGACGGGTCAATTTTGGAGTCAAAACGGGAATCGTGGGACCCGCGCAGGAAATTCTGAAATTAACCCCAAAATGGGTCCTAACCAGTTCCCCCAGCTCATTTCCCATAATGGGACACAATTCGGGGCTCGGGAACAACACAATATCAACAAGCAACTAAAACCCAAATTTTCTCAAAAGAATAGAAATGGGACAGCAGCTAATTCAGCGTTTTTACCAAAAACGGGCAATCTACAGTAAAATCTAACAACACCACAATGTTCTCCTTGAAAAACCACTCAAGATAGCCTCAAAAATCACCAAAATCGGATCTAAAATGGCTAAGAAAACAAGTCTCAAAAATTTCCAAAATCAAGCTTACAAAAAGAGGTCTGGCAGCAGGTATTTTTCAAAATTTACCTCAAACGGGGACTCCAAATCACTATCCGAGCTCACCAACACGTTGTCCTCAAAAAATCTCACAACTTAGCCTTTTGGATCACCCAAATCGGTTGAGAGATGAGAGAGAGATGAGGGTTTGAAGTTTGAGAAATGTTGCTGATTTTCTGCAATTTATTGCAGAAAATCTGCAACATTTCCAAAACTTAAAATCCCGACGGGGTGCTCCGAACTCGTTCGGAACCCCGTGCACGCAAACGAGATATGCAACCATACCAAATTCGATATTCCAGACTCAACGGCGCAGTCGAAATTTCCATCAGAGGTCATTTCGATAAAAAGTGGGTCCCACTTCCAAAAGCCCTTTTAAGTCAAAACCCACAAAAGGGCTCGGAAAGATATCGAAAACCTCCAGACACAAAAGAAGGGTCAATCTAGACCAAACTCGACATTCCGGAGCTAACCACGCTGACGGAATTCTCATCCGAGCACGTATACTCAGAATGTTGACCAAAGTCAACCTTAGGCTAAAATTCAAAGGCTAAAACGCCTAATCGCACCGACTCACACTGAAAACCTTGGGAGTCATGTCGACCATGCTACTAGCCTAAAATGACCTTTCCGGAGCTGATGAAATCGTCAGAATTGGATTCCGATGTCATCTTCTTGAACTTTTGATCGAAAATGATCGTTCAAGGTTCATAAGCTCCAAAACACAAAAAACTCGCACCAAGACCAAACGAACGACCAGGTGACCGAACTGTCAGTCCCAGCAAGTCATAAATGACTTGGGGTCACTATAGGAACGCTCTAAATGACACACAGAAAGCAAGACACAGAAATGATCATGAGGGTCATTACAGGGGCGAGCGAGATCTAGGAGAGGGGAATGAAAATATATGTATATATACAATTTTCTCTCGCTTTATACAAACACAAACGCACTTTATATATGAAAAACGAGAGAGGCGAGGGAGAGAACGAGAGTGGCGAGCAAGATTCACCAGGAGAGAGGTGAAATAGCAACAGTTTGCTATGAGGTACAATTAAATCAAACTATATTTATAACATTTAATTTGAATTTATAATTTACTATTATATACAATTTTCCCTATCAAATATGAGTGGGTTAAATTATTACCCATTTTCAACCCGCCCATTTGCCACCACTAATCACTAATTGAGCTGAACCCAATTGTAAAGTTCCCGTACCTCACTATCTCCGTCTCCAACAGTGCCGTCCACCAAAGGTTAGTCTCAGCTGCCGTCGCCGGTTCTTTTTCTTCTTGCTTTCTATGTTAAGAAATTTTCAAATTGTTTCCTTTACTTGTTACTTTCCGATCATGCAATGTTGTAGTATACTGTAACATAAATCTAAGTTTCTTCCATTTTTGCCGCTGTTCCGCACACTTTAGAAGCTTAAAAGCAAAAGTGAAGTCCCAATTTATCTTTTGGCACATAAACCCTGCTGATTTTACCCTAGTCATTGAAAGTTTTCCTAACCCCAGGTAAATATGGGGCAAATATTGGATCCTTTAATTTCCCTCGTAATGTTCTTGATTATTCGGTGGTTCCTTTTTCTTATCTAAATTTACTCTTATATAACTGTAATTGCCTGTCTGAAATGCCTATGCTTTTTGACTCTGGAGGCTGATTGAAATATGGGGCATTTGATAAATTCGAATTTGGGTTGGTTTTCACATGTTGCCCAAAGCTCAGTGAGAAGGATGGATATGTGTGTTATTCATTACGAATTTCAGTTTTATCTACTTAACATTGTAAATATAATTTGACTGGTTCGAAAAAAAAATTCCACCCTCTTTTCTTAAGGTACCAACTCATGCTGGGCATTGAAACTTCCCTGCAGTTGGCTTATACAAGCGATTTGATGATTTGAAAAATTCTTTCTTTGTCAGTGGGAAACTCTCTATTTCACCATTCTACCTCCAATGGTTGGTTTAGCCGAGTTAGAAGAGTTTCATATTGGTGTAAATACTCTTATTAGAGATGTGGGGTGGCGTGGGGGTAATATCTAATTAATGACGATGTTGGAACAGCCTGATTGTTGTATTCTTGTATGAGCTGATAAAGTCTATCTCACAGGAGTGAACTAGTGTAGTCTTCTATGTTTGCCTGTGATGTTTCAAGCCAATCTCTGCGACTTATATGAGGGAAAGATGACTGATACTGCTAGTTAAGACACCGCGTCCAATCCTTGTACCATTCTGTCTTTTGCAGTTCCATACCCAGTACCTTTGGCACCTTAACAGTGTGTGAGGATGTGAAATCTTCTCCTGATGGATAAATTACAGTGGATGTGCACTGCATTTCTTGTGGTTGTGGCATATGAAATTCAAAACATTTTCTTGAACTTCCATACTGGAATTACTGTGACTGCATGGTTTCTTTGAAAGGCTCATATTTCCCTTGTTAAAGCCCACTGTGTTTTGATTTGTGACAGGTCCTTTAAAATGTATGTGAAATCTCAGTTGTCATGGAATGTGATAATCCCTGCTGAGAACCTTGATGTTGAAGGCTTAATGCTTCAGAAGGCAATAGTTATTCGCCTCATGGATGACTTTGCTTCCAAGAAGGCTTCAAAAAATCTTGGTTACTTTATGGCTCTCACTTCATTGGAGAGGATTGGAGAAGGGAAAGTTCGAGACCACACTGGTGATGTGCTTTTCCCTGTGGAATTCAGCTGCCTTACCTTCAAGCTATTCCGTGGAGAGATCTTGGAAGGGGTTGTTGACAAGATCTTGAAGCACGGGGTCTTCTTGAGATGTGGCCCCACCAACAAGGTATACCTCTCTCATCAGAAGATGGCGGATTACAAGTATGTGCCTGGAGAAAATCCTATCTTTATGAATGAGAAGATGTCAAGAATTGAGAAACACACTGTGGTGCGTTTCATCGTGTTTGGAGCAAGGTATGTGGAGGCGGAGAAGGAATTCCAAGCAGTTGTGAGCTTGGAGGGTGATTACCTCGGACCCATCTCACAAACTGTTTCTTAGATTTCGGTGAACAACTGTGATTGGCTCATTTCAGACATAGACCAGTGACATGTAAAAAACTAATGTCTGTAGCAATATCTGTGTTTAGTACTGTTTTGAATTGAATGTGACATTTTTTGTTGATGTTGCTGACCTTCTCTTTAGTGTCTTTGGTTGCTTAAGCCCTCAAGTGGTCATGCAAATGTTTCAAGGCATAGCATGTCTTCAGAGATACATTTACTTGTTAAGGTGATAAACCTTTTCTTAAATTACCTTTCCAAAGTGTCTAGTTCTCTTGACTGATATTTCTCTCTAGTTTGTTTTAAAAAAACAAGTAGTGATACTTTGTAAGGTACTATATTTTTGTTTGTGTATGCAAAGACACGTACTCATTAAGGGTTGATCTTGAGAGAAATGAATGATATGGAAAGGTTCTCTCTTTACCTACATGAGATATGAGCATAACATGTCATGGAGTAGTATATTAAATTGGTAATGAACGAGGAAGAGGAAAAGTAAAAATGTTTTAGTTTTGGTTATGCACAAAAAAAGATGGAAATTAAGAATAAGAAAAGGGTACAAAAGCTATCAGCAGCTTTTGTTAGCAGTACTCTCCAAAATTATAGTAATTCATCTTGAAGTATGAAAACAAAAAGAGCTTTAACTTAACATATGCTACACAATTTCCTGCAATAACGTTAGAGAAACAATTACTGATGGTTAAAGCACTGAACTTTAAAACCTTTTTTTCTCCAGCAGAAATATTAGAAAGTACCTGATGTCATGTTGTTAGGTAGTTCAATAATAGGAAGAAAACTTTTGTTTGATCTTTTTCAATGTTGTTACAACATCAGTCCTGTTCATCCTTTCAACTGGAATACTAATTGTGCAATTCATGGCTAACTCCATAATGAATGACACACATTGCAGCTTTTGACTTCTTAAGTTCTCTTCATCTAGTGTGAGTAAGTCAGCATCTATGATTTGATCCAACTCATCAGGAAGTGAATTATGCACCCAGCTTCTCAAATTCAAATCTCCTGCGAACATTTTATCTCTGGGTTTCTTCTTGGTAAAAGTTTCCAACAGCATGATACCAAAACTATAAACGTCAGACCTCTTGGATATAAGGCCTTCCAGACCATACTCTAGAAAATAAAAAAAATAAAATATGTCAGCATTTTTAACACATTATACCATAACACTGTTACTAGTTAAATAAAGCATTCACCTGTAGCAATGTAACCAATTGTCGCAAAGGTTGTAGTGTGAGCAATAGATTCTTCTTAGGTTAAAAGTTTCGCAATGCCAAAGTCAGTCAGGTGTCCCACCATGTTGTTGTCAAGTAATACGTTGCTAGGCTTCAGATCACAATGAATAACTGGTACTGAGTAACCATGATGGAGATATTCCAGAGCAGATGCAATATCAACCATGATATTCAATCTTTGCATCATACTTGAACAGAAATCTCTAGAATATAGAAACTTGTCTAAGCTCTCATTTGGCATGTACTCAAGTATCAATGCCTTAAAATCCAAGTTACTACAGCTGCTAATGATCTTTGTGAGATTTCTGTGACGAAGATTCCGCAAGATTTCACATTCTCTATCAAAGGTTTGAAATGTACCTTCCATCTGCACATCGAAAACTTTAACAGCTACAATCATCCCATCTGCCAATGTCCCTTTGTAAACAGAACCGAAACTTCCACTACCTAGCAAGTTAATTTCATCAAAGCCCTGAGTTGCTCTTTGAAGTTCATAGTAAGATATTCTTGGTGGTGCTACCTCAGCCAACCCCTCGTCTTCTGCGTTGACTGTTGTGCCCCGATGTCTCATCAACACGAAAGCTATTGCTGAAGTTAGCACTATCACAGAGATAACTGAAAAGGCAACTACAATCCATATCATTATTCTTTTCTTTGACTTAGAATGATTCTTTGAATTAGAAGGACAAGCTGGGAAATGCTCTTGAGAGTTACCACACAATCCTTCATTCGACATGAAAGATTGGTAAGTGAGATTAACTAAAGGTCCTCCACTCGGAATTTCTCCGTGTAACCTGTTGAATGAGACATTAAGGGAGCGTAGTTGCTTAAGTTCTTCTAATGACTTTGGAATCACACCAGACATTTTGTTATATGAGATATCCATCGCTTCCAAATTTATGAGTTCCCCAAATGTGTCAGGAATAGATCCTTCAATTCTGTTATGAGCCAAAGATAGTTGAGTCAATTTCTGTAGACCTCCCAATGTGCTTGGAATGTTGCCTGAGATGTGGTTTCTGGAAAGATCCAAAAGTGTTACAGCCTTGAGGCTTCCAACTTCTAGTGGAAGAGAACCATTGAAGAAATTAGAAGACAAGTTCAGCTTTAAAATGTCTTTGAGGTTCCATAGACTTGAAGGTATGCTAGCAGAGAAGTTATTGGAATCAAGATAAATCTCCCTTAGAGAAGTCACATCCCCTAAGCAACTAGGAATATTTCCCCACATTTGATTTTGTGAAAGGTTTAGCATGCCCAAGTTGGGTAGCTCACATAAAACAATTTGGAAAGGACCACTTATTCTGTTTGCACCAAGTGAAAGCCGTTGAAGGTTTTTCAAAGAACTTATCGTTGTCGGGATAATTCCAGTTAAGTCATTGTCATCCAACTCCAAAGTAGATAACTTTCTCATATTTCCAATTTCATCTGGAATTTGTCCCTTGAGGTTACAGCTTATTGCCGAAAATATAATTAAGAGAAGAAAGATTGCCAACAGATTTGGGAAGCATTGCATTTAGGGGATTGAAAGACAATACCAATCTTGGCAAGTTTTCACAATTGGCCAAAGGAGTAATGAAGCTCAAATCACTTGTGAAGGAGTTACCGTACAAGTTGAGATTTCTAAGTAGTCTTAAATTTCCTAGAGATTCGGGAATTGAACCCGTAAGTTCATTTCCACCTAGTTCGAGAAATTCAAGCTTAGACAAATTTGAGATGGAACTAGGTAAAGCACCATTGATGTTATTTCCAACTTGATAAATTCCTTCGATATTAGTTAAGCCATTGCCTATAGTGGAAGGAATACTACCCGAAATGTGGTTTCCTAAGATTCCCAGAACTACAAGAGATGAGATATTGAAAATGCCAATAGGGATCAACCCTGTAAAGTCATTGAAAGACAAGGAAATGAACGACAACTCAGGAAGGTTACCGACTTCATCTGGAATTACACCTGCAAAATTCAGTAAGATTAGGATCTGTAAAAGCTTCTACAAGACTAAAATTTTAACATGACGTGAATTAGATATATTTCTGTACCTTTCAGGGTAATTATTTGAAAGATCAAACCAGACAAGCATAGTCAAATTATCAACCTGTCTTGGTATAGGTCCTTCAAGCATGTTATCACTCATAAATAAACGTCCAAGTGATGAAATGTTGAATATGGTTGAAGGGATTGACCCTGTTAATCTATTATTATCCACGAACAATAACTTCAAGTTATACAGATGACCAATCTCATCAGGAATTGTGCCTGTCATACTGTTAAATAGAACTATCACATAAATGGTCGAACAATTCAACTCTCTAAAATGCACAGATTTCTTTTCTCGAATAAACACTTTTAGCTTCTAGAAGCTTGGCCAAATAGGCTATGAACTTGCTAGAAAAATGGTAAACATGTACCTTCTAACTTGTTTTGTGAAAGATGTAATTGTTGCAGCAGGTGTAAGTTACCTAGTTCTCTTGGAATTGTTCCAACAAAGTTATTTTGAAACAACATTAGTATTTGAAGCTCGGAGCATTCAGATATGTTTCTTGGTACCTCTCCGCTTAACATGTTGTTGCCAAGTGCAAGCCTTTTCAATCTAGGAGCTCACCAGTTAAACCGGTACTTGTGACTTCTGAGATCCAAAATTTCAAGTGTTGAGGTGTTAAAGATGGAGAGCACATTGAGTAATTTGTTATATCTCAAGATGAACCATTTCAAATTTGGAAGATTGGCTATTCCTTTTGGTATTTCTCCGGTGAAGTTGTTGTAACTAAGATCAATGTCTCTCAACTTTCGCGAAAGAAGCAACTCTGGTGGAAGTTCACCGTGGAAATTGCTTTTGCTTAGATCAAGTGAAACAAGAAAAGAAAGGTTGCCAAGTTGCGGTGGGATGGTACCAGTAATATCCATATATACCTGATATATTCAGTTCAATAACTCTGTGATGACGAGAGCCACAAGTGATTCCAATCCAGTTACAAACTGAGTTAGAAGAAGACCAGTTTGTCAAGAGAATGTGATTAGTATCTGAAGTGATGTGTTCTCTCAAGGCTAGAAAAGAAGATTGATCTGTGCTGATATTCATGGCTAAGCATGTCGTTATAACATGAAGAGATATTAATAAAATTCCTAGAAGCGGAAAGGAGGAGGAGGATGTTTTCTCCATTGATGAGTTTTCTGGTTTGATCATTGCAGCAATATAATGATCTATACCTATTGAAACTGATTAGATTTATAATCGAAAATATAATGCTAGTACATAGTTCTATATTATTGAAACTAATTAACAACATAATACTTGCAATTGTAAAATGCTTCTAGCAACAATTTAGTCCGTTAATTGTGCAAGTCTTCATGTTAGAAATGTAAAGAAAAAGGTTGAAAAAATTATTCAAGATCTGGTAGCTAGCTAATAAATGCTAACAAATTAAAATATAAGTTTATGGCCTAAGTAATATATTACTCGACTAAGGAAGTTGACTTTGCACCATATATTGAACTAAATTAATCTGTTACTTAAAGAGAAGGAAACTTTGCTAATGGTGAGATGTTGCTAAACACAGCAATCTAGATTTTGGCATAGAAAATTTGTTTGTGGTTATCAGTAAACAGACATACAAAAGAGTGGAATAAGAGTTGACTCTCTAGCTAGGTTGTTTACTTTCATAGGTTGGATCTTTGCATCAATACCCTAAACTATTTGAATTAATGAATTTATTCCAGGCTTCATGCAGTCATTAAAAAATTAACTATTTGAGTTGACTCTGCCCTTTTTCGACTCACTATTTGCCCCACTAGTTGGGCAGTTGCCCTCTTTGGCACCCAGTTCATACGCCCTTTACTGTACAAATCAACAACTTCAAATTCAACTCCCTTTCTGCCTAAGATATTTTCTTGTTTACCCTTCATTTATCAGTGGCTGTATGAAAGTTCTCCTTCATGCACGTTCAATGCCATAACAAGGTAAAACCTTGACTATATATATGGATATATCTGTAACAGAAAGGAACTCCCATGTCAAAGTAAGTAGTGAAAACTATCAAGGAATATGCATATCGTCTTGCTGCTCTATTCTTTGGAAAAAAATTAATTCAGTTGAATACTTGGGAGAACTTGAGATATATACAATGGATTCAACATAGTTTATTTAAATGGCTTACATACAATGTTCACTTGTATCATCAAATTGGAAGGGTGCTTAGAACATTAGATTATGGAAAGGCCCTCTTGGCTTAAACAAGAAAAAGGAAGTACACAAGCTATCATCGGCTTTTTATAATAGTCCCAAAATCATAGCAACTTCATGAAGTAAGAATTATATGAACTTCAATCCTTTTAACTTCCAATAGCCACATTATCTCCTGCAATAACATTCGAGGAACACTTACTGATAGTCAAATGCTACTGAACTTTATAACCTCGTTTGTTTCAAAAGGAATATGAAAAGTAGCTGATGTCATGTTGTTAGGTAGTTCAGTAACAGAAAGAAAGCTTTTGCTTGATCTTGTTCAATGTTTCTACAGCATCAGTCATGTTCATCCTTTCAACTGGAATACTAGTTGTGCAATTCATGGCTAACTCCATAATGGATGACACACATTGCAGCTTTTGACTTAAGTTTTGTTCATCTACTGTTAGTAAGTCAGTATCTATGATTTGATCCAACTCATCAGGAAGTGAATTATGCACCCAGCTTCTCAAATTCAAATCTCCTGCGAACTTTTCATCACTGGGTTTCTTCTTGGTAAAAGTTTCCAACAGCATGATACCAAAACTATAAACGTCAGACCTCTTGGATATAAGGCCTTCCAGACCATACTCTAAAAAGAAAAAAGGAAATAAGTCAGCATTTTTAATGCATTAAACCATAACATTGTTACTAGTTAAATAAAGAATTCACCTGGAGCAATGTAATCAATTGTTGCAAAGGTTGTAGTCTGAGCAATAGATTCTTCCTTCGTTAAAAGTTTCGCAATGCCAAAGTCTGTCAGGTGTCCCATCATGTCGTTGTCAAGTAACACATTGCTAGGCTTCAGATCACAGTGAATAACCGGTACCGAGTAACCATGATGGAGATATTCCAGAGCAGATGCAACATCGACCATGATATTCAATCTTTGCATCATATGTAAACAGTAATCTCGAGAATATAGCAACTTCTCTAAGCTCTCATTTGGCATGTACTCAAGTATCAATGCCTTAAAATCCAAGTTACAGCAGCTGCTAATGATCTTTCTGAGATTTCTGTGACGAAGATTCCGCAAGATTTCACACTCTCTGTCAAAGGTCTGAAATGTTCCTTCCATCTGCACATTGAAAACTTTAACAGCTATAATCATCCCATCAGCCAACATCCCTTTATAAACAGAACCAAAACTTCCACTACCAAGCAAGTTATTTTCATTAAAACTCTGAGTTGCTCTTTGAAGTTCATAGTAAGAAAATCTTTGTGGTGCTACTTCAGGAGACCACTCAACTTCAGCATTGATCGTTTTACCCCCACGTCTCATCAACATGAAAACTATTGCTGAAGCAAGCCCTGTTACAGAGATAACTGAAGAGGTAACTATAATCCATATCAGATTTCTTTTCTTCGACTTAGACTGATTCTTTGAATAAGAAGGACAAGCTGGGACATGCTTTTGAGGGTTACCACACAATCCTTTATTCGACATGAAAGACTGGTAAGGTAGATTAAGAAAAGGTCCTCCACTCGGAATTTCCCCGTGTAACCTATTGAATGAGACATTAAAGGAGTTTAGCTGGTTAAGTGCCTCTAATGACTTTGGAATCACACCAGACATTTTGTTATATGAAAGATCTAATGCTTCCAAACTTAGGAGTTCCCCAAATGTGTCAGGAATAGATCCTTCAATTCCGTTATGAGCCAAAGATAGTTGAATCAATTTCTGTAGACCTCCCAATGTAGTTGGAATGTTGCCTGATATTTGGTTCCTAGAAAGATCCACAAGTAGTGCAGCCTTGAGGTTTCCAACTTCTAGTGGTAGAGATCCATTGAAGGAATTAGAAGACAAGTTCAGCTTCAAAATGTCTTTGAGGTTCCATAGACTTGAAGGTATGCTAGCAGTGAAGTTATTGGAATCAAGATAAACCTCCCTTAGGGATGTCATATTCCCCAAGCAGCTAGGAATATGTCCCAAAATTTTATTTTGTGAAAGGCTTAGTATCCCCAAGTTGGGCAGCTCACATAAAACAATTGGGAAAGGACCATTTATTCTGTTTGCATCAAGAAAAAGCCGTTGCAGGTTTTTCAAAGAACTTAATGTCGTCGGGGCAATTCCAGTAAGGTTATTACCTCCCAGAGACAAAGTGGATAAATTTCTCATATTTCTGATCTCACTTGGAACATTGCCCTTGAGGTTACAGCCTACAGCAATAAATGATTGAAGGGAAGAGATATTGCCAATGGATCTTGGGAGCATTGCATTTAGGGGATTGAAAGACAATATCAATATTCTCAAGTGTTTACAATTGGCCAAAGGAGTAATGAAGCTCAATTCACTTGTAAAGGAGTTACCGTACAAGTTGAGAAGTTCAAGTTGTCTTAAATTTCCCAGAGAGTCAGGAATTGAACCAGTAAATTCATTACTAAAGAGTTCGAGAAAGGTGAGCTTAGACAAATTTGAGATGGATCCAGGTAAAACACCATTAATGTTGTTTCCACCTAGGAATAATTTTTCAACATTAGGTAACCCATTGCCTATAGTGGACGGAAGATTACCTGAAATGTGGTTTTCTGTGAGTCCAATAGTTACAAGAGATGAGATATTAAAGATACCAATAGGGATCGACCCACTAAATTCATTGTAAGACAATGGAAGATCTGTCAACTCTTGAAGGTTACCAACTTCATGTGGAATTACACCTGAAAAATTCAGTATGATTATGATCAGTAGACATATCCCAAAAAACTAAAAATTCTAAAATGACTTGAATTAGATTTTTTTTCCGTACCTGCCAGGTAATTATTGGAAAGATCAAACCAGGCAAGCATAGTCAAATTTCCAACCTGTCTCGGTAAAGGTTCTTCAAGCTTGTTATCATTCATATATAGCATTTCAAGTGATGAAATGTTGAATAAGGTTAAAGGGATTGAGCCTGTTAAATAATTTTTATCCATGAATATGTTCTTTAAGTTATAAAGATGGCCGATCTCATCAGGAATTGTGCCTGTCATATTGTTAAACAGAAATATCACATAAAAAACATATATTTAACAAGAGTTTAACTTCCAAATGGGTATGCCAGAAGCTTGGTCAAACCGGCAACAAGTATACAAATCGAGAGGAGAAGTGACAGAGCAATTAGTGAAAACAAACAAATCTTCTTATGCTACTATTAAAAAAATACTTAGATTTTTTTAAAGATTGTCCAAACACTTCAACTCTCTAAAATACATTTTCTTTTAAATAAGTTAAATCTAATGTCCCAAGAAAAAAAGGGTAAAGCCATACCTTTTAACGTGTTATCTGCAAGATCTAAATGTTGCAGCAGCTGCAAGTTACCTATTTCTCTTGGAATTGTTCCAACAAAGTTATTTTGAAACAACATTAGGAGTTGAAGCTCTGAGCATTCAGATATGTTTCTTGGTACCTCTCCGCTTAACATGTTGTTGCCAAGTGCAAGCTTTTGCAATCTAGGAAGACGATGACATAAATCAGAAGGGAAATCACCAGTCAAACCATAATTTCTGAGATCCAAATATTCAAGGGTTGAGATGTTGAATTTAGAGAGCACATTGGAGCCATTGAGTAATTTATTGTATCCCATGGAAAACCGTATCAAACTCGGAAGAGTGGCTATTCCTATTGGAATTTCTCCAGTGAAGTTGGTGTAACTAAGATTAATGACTCTCAATCTCCTTAAATGAGAAAAATCTGATGGAAGTT